AAACAACCTAAATTTAAAAAAAAAAAAAGAGAGAAAAGGATGGAAGATAGTGAGACTATCTTTTGCAATAGAATCTGCCACAGATGATCCAAGGCAGAATCTCAGACTTGACTCTGAGTTCATTTTTTTCATCTACATTTCTGTCATATTAATGAATTTGACTCAAGTTATCGTGCTTGGAGCCTTCTCTAAAACTACTTAACACTATTGATATCCAACTACAGAAATTCATTACCCAAAATGTATCAAAGCAATACAAAATCCGAGGTACCTCTATTTGGAGATTCTTGCCTCTGGGGGCCATGCCAGGGGCAAACAGGACAAGAGACTTTGGGACACAGAGCTACAAGCAGAAGAAAGACTTTTCTCAACTCTCTGCAAGAGGGAGGGCTGACTTGAGATCTCCTGCACACAAGTTGTTTGAACTGGCAGCCCTGATCTCTGATTAGTAGAGCACCTAATTTCACATCCCTTAGCCACTTCATGCACACAATAGAGTTGGCAGCAGAGAACTATAACAGTGAGATTTCTGCAAGGCTCCAGTATAGAACAGAGAAAACTTGAGGGACTTTAGGAAAAGAAAATTTTCACAGAAAGAACTTTCAATAGAGTGAGTGTCTCACTCCATAGATCTAATATTTTAACATGGCAACAAATCAATAATAATAAAGACAAAAACCACAAATAATTTATGCAGACACAATAGAAACAGCCTATCACTTATTAAGAAAACCTTCTCATAATGTTAAGAAAGCAGCAGACAACTTCAAATACTGTGGAAAAACGAAATATCTTCTCCAGGAAAAAAAAAGTAGAGAATATTGCAGACCTCATAAATACCCCACAGTCAAGAAGGCAAATGGTATAGGTTGATATGGAGACATTTGAACAACTACTGATGAAATTACAAATGACAGAACAAGCAATGTAAGTCACAAATAAAGGGAATAATTGAGAGAGAACCAGAAGAAATCTATTGGTGAGGAATTATTTGAACAGGTGCAAATGATGGAAGAAACATTATAACATTAGAAACCACCAGAAAC